CCTCACGGGACTCTGAAGCTAAACTGACGGATGCCAAGAAGCTCCACCCGAGACCGGAACCTTTACCGCAGCGATGCAGGCGGCGAAGCAATGTTGGAATCTCAATGAGGCGAAACAAAAGACGAAACAGGTGTAGCCTTAAACAGGCTGGAGCTTTTGGTAGCAAGGTTAACACACACACGGAAGTTTGTATGCACCGTCACTGTTTCGCTGATGTATCATTTCCAGAGTGTTATCCAGAGCAGTGTGCACTAGCAGCAGCAGCACGCTCCTATAAAGCAAACACTCCCCATCTTCAGTCTCCCAGCCCAACAAACACAGGCCCTATAGACACCAGCTATATGAGACGATGGGTGGATCATTAGAAGACAGGTTGAGGGATGATCTTCCAGGTTCAGCTAAATATGTACAACAATAAATTTCTAATTTGTCTTGAAACTAACTAGAAATCTTTCAAACTGTCCAAAGTTTGTTCCTGGTTAGACTGCAGAAGGAGTGGACAAACTGGCCTCACACATAGTGTTTGCCTCATTGCTGATTAGAGCTTGCTAAAACATCTTGAGGGAAGAGGGAATCTGGAGCCAAAAGGATCAAGTGAAAGCAATTACTTGCAACTAATCTATAATTGAAATAGTGGTTTTAATTTAGACATTGTTTAATTCTTTTGTAAACCTTACATGGGCTTAAACAAGCCGTTTTATGACTGATTGTTCATTTTATTCTGCCTTAATAATAGAAGTATCTTTTATTTTAAAAAGTCATCTCTATAAACAATCAATTGAGAATTGTTTTGGTCAATGAATTTTTAAAATACCATGAATATTGATCTTTCGGGATTTCAACTAAATTCAGTTATTAAAACCATCCGGCCAATTCAATCCTCAAAATAATAGTTAATTTAAGCTGTATATGGCAACCACCTAGCAACCAAAGAGCCAATCAAAAGTTGAGCTAGGCTTTCTCTTTCTAGCCAGCCAATGCAAATTTTATGCAGACATATCTGGATTTTCAAATACATTATAAAAACATAAATACACACGCATATGTGTGATATTGAGTGCAAATGTGTGTGAAATTCCTATTATATAAAACAGTTTCACGGATGTTCACATTTCAAATTATATCTCATTCTTTTGAGACCGCATAAAATTTACTCTCAGCAAGAATATTATTTCATACAACCGCAAGATATTGATTGCATTTCCGTTTACACAAGCCATGCTCGTATGACCCAATTGTATTATTACATCCTCCCAGCAGCATGTGTAACGTATACTTTCCAATTCTAGCCCACCCCCCACACTACACACGTACAAACTACACCCCAGGACTACCCTACCGCAGTCACATGTAAACAGTCAGAAAAGCCAGTCGTGGATCATTTTACACAGAGTACAACCAGCCCCCACCAGCTCTGTGTAAACCTCAGGCCTGTGTTTGCCTCACTCTTTCATATAGTCACTCACTGATAATCACATAAGCAAGACAAACAAAGCTAAAAACACAATAGAAAGCCACAATTCAGGAAGAAGAGATGAGCAGTATAACAGCCACTCACCAAGCAGCACTCAAGAAACTATTTCACCCGGTTCTCGTCATAAAATTTTCATCAATGCGTCCAGCGGCTTCCCATAGATGCACTTCCTGTTAGTAGATGTACACTTCACCTTGAACTGGTCTCCGAAAAAAAAAATCAGTAAAATGAGTGTGTGGTTTATGGCTTAACAGGAAGACAAAGAATGTGAACTATGGGGAAATATAACAAGCTATATACATTTGGAAATCATAATCAATTTCATGATCTTTGTGTATTGAATTTTAGATATTGTTAGAAATTGTTCTATAGTTTTAGACTCCAAAAAAGTTTGAACCGCAATTAAATGTGTCAATATTATTTGTAATGTCATTCAAGAAAGTTAATACACAGACGTATAAAACATATATATATTTTTGATTGTCTTTGGAGCAGAGTTCAGTCGTGGCCATATTCAGAATATTAGCATACATTATTTTCTTTGGTTGTAATTGTAATTCTCAGCCATCGCTAAAAGTACATTAAATAGCCTTAATGTTTGCTTTGCGTACACCATTAAGGAGAGTATATATCTTTTCCATAAAATATAAAACAGAAATTCACCAATTAATACATTTACCAAATCTCTCTTCCTTACTCTGGCCTTGGCATACAAAAGCCCAGCGATTCATAAGAAACCAGGGGAATATGAAAAAGTATATTTGATAGCACATCACGTGAAAAGCATCAATATCACTGTGTGGCATTTGATTTGGATTATGTAAACATATGGGGCTGATTTATCAAGTGTAAACAAGGAGTGAAATGAATCTTGTGTTACCGCAGCTGAGGCAGACACATTGATTAATAATATGCTGGAGGCCAAATCAATACACCTTCAAGACACTATATCATGGTTACTAGATACTTTACTGTCAACAATAAGACTGACAATGACTCATGTGTTATGTTCACAAACAGACATCGAGATTATACTTAATCTCTGCTGTAGTCGAACCTGACAAGTTTGGTGTGAAAAAAATGCTCAACTGTTCATGCTCAACCTTTATTCCACCCCATGTCTCTAAATTTACATGGTTGGTATGTTAAGAGTTATGGATGGACCAATGCATTTTGGGGCTCAATAATTATTGTCTGTTCATTTTCTTTGCTATTTTCTTTATGATAAAATACCATTTGAGATCAATGAGGGACTAATATGGAAAATTATTGCTTAATACTGCTGTGTATTTGTATCTGTGTATGACTTTTAAAGATAGAGACATATTATGAATGGGTTATAGACTTTATTCTGCTGTTTTGAAATTGCTCCAGTGGCACATAGACGTTTCAATACTATCGTTTATCACAATATATTTCTAACAACAACCTATTTTATCATGACATGTCTAATCCGGTTGTAATAAGAGTCAGATTTTGCAATGAACAGTACCATTTGCAGTATTCATCAGGAATAACTAATTTTCGAATAAACATTGCAGACATAATTTCATAGACCACAGAGGAAAAAAATGACTTTTGGAAACATCATAAAATGATTAAAGCCAATTCCTATTTCCCCACAAATGTATCACTAGTTCCTAGAGTCACAAGCCAAATCATGGGGAGCCAGCATTTCAGGATTTTGCAGCCAACCTCCTGAACAGTCTTCCTGAAAATGTGAGAGAAACTTCTACTCTGACTTCGTTCTAATCCAGGTTAAGATCTCTGCGCTGAAAGATTGCATCTGCACGATCTATATAATAGATAAACTGGGATTATTATGATTTTAGATTTTTGAATTTAGATTTTTATACATTCTGTTTTGTTTTGTGAAATGCATCGAATAAATGTGTGAATGAATTGGCCGTCTATTTGCAGATTTCTCGCCGTGTATAACAGATGCGAGATGATGAAATGAAGCCATTCTGTTTGTAAACATGTTCATAGTGACAATGGGCCAATAAAAAATACACTCTCATTGCAAACTAAAAGCAGGTGGTAAACTATAGCTTGAGGTTACAACTATCACAAAATTCTCCAATCCCATTATTACTTATCCATAAAAGCCACCAAAGTATCGAGTCGCAAAATAGAGAGATTATCAGACACATTATATTGACTGCCAAGTTCCATTTGGCTCATATTGACTGATGCGCATCTTAAACTATGAAATCTTGGCATGTTTGATGAAATAACCATTTCCTGATTGACCTTTCAAATGACTTTTAAAAACTGCAGTGGGGCCAGTGGTTTGGAGAGTTTTGCTGACGATGTTGCTGCGGCTGTCGATACAGTGAGAAGGAAGAGACTTTTCTGTCAATGAGGCAAACACCCAGCTCACCTAATAAATATGGATCTGGTCCTGTGCCCAAAGATAAAAGAGCAATGCTTCTCAAACTGTGGGGCAGGAATGTTTTCCCCGAAGTCTACAATGTTCATTTTTGAAGAAAGTTTAATTAATATTTAAGTAAAAACTAAAATTATGACTTTGGCGTTGGTTTAGCAGATTGAGGGTGTGCTCACATTAGTTCTGGGTTCACCTGGAAAAAATTGTGCACAGATCTGTATTCAAAGATGTAAACTGACATTGGTAACTTCAGTTATTACATGTTCATGTGTTTGCTTATTTTACATTCACAAATAAAGGCATTTTTCTTCACATGAACCAGAACCAAAGTGTGAAGGTCCCGTTTGGACTGAATATATTTGCATTGTATTTGACTGTATTTGTTTGTAGAAGGAAGTAATGCACACCAAACTGTGCTGCAGGTGCAGGACAAGATTATGAAAAGTTTAAAGAATGCATCAAAGTCCAAAGTCCATTAATTATTATTAATATATTTTGGCAATTGAAAAGGTACGAGACCATTAACTTTGTCATTCGATGTTATTTAATGTGAAATAGTATCTTCAGGTGAAAATACTTGGGGAAACCAGAATGAAGGGTAAATGAAGCAATCTGCCTGCCCTACCACTGTGATGCCAGAGGAAGATAGATTATTTTCTTTGTTTTTCTTTCAAATTGGAAAATTATCTGCTGCAAACTGATTGTAAATAACGTAATTTTACCTAATCATTCGCTAAAACTAATTCATGGGCACTAGTTTTAAAAAGGCAGAAAACCTGCTTTGAGCGTGATGCCATAGTGGTACAATGACATCATACTATTACATGATTGAGACAGGAGCTTTAGGACAGAAGGGGCGGGGATGCCAGACGTTCCTTGAGTTAACGTGGGTGAATTTCAAACTCATGAGGGAACAATGGGAACAATGATGTGAGAGGATTAAAACAGGAAACGGCAATGTTGCATAATATGTCTCCTTTAGACATATCGGCTACAAAGCTTTCGTTAGATACATATTATTACTTTTAGACCAGTGCAGAACGGAATGGTCACTTCTGTAAGATCATACAAATAAACTAAAAGCAAAAGTAGACTCTCACAAGCACTCCAGGCTCTGTAAACAGCTGGATGACTCACCTGTGGAGACAGGGCGGTGGGAGGCTGGCTGAAGAGTGTGGAGTGGGAGCGGATTCCATGTGCTCTCCTGATGCTCTGACGGGACAGAGGGGCAGAGAGGACCGCCTGCTGGAACAACACAAATACATACACTTAAAGACCATATGCAAGGTAATACATATTCAATACCAGTTTTATAATGGAAAAGAAATACTATAACGTTTCAAAATCAATTGTTTTTTTCTTATTTTTTTGTCCAATCAACCCAAATCAAGAAAACACCATAGCAACGATCTTAGCAACAAGAAATAACAAACCTCTTCTTTTTGCTTGTTGACGTCGAGAACCCATCATACTAGTAGTATGTAGCAGTAGTAATACCAGTACATCTCTTCCATACTGGAGATTTGGAACAGGCTTGTTTACATTTTGTTAGTCTATCTAACAAAACATCTATCTTCTAATCTGAAGAAGATGTGTTGCAATGCTTCATGGCCAAAAGAGAAGAGAAAAAAAGGAGGCCTTGGATGGCACCAACACGAAACATGTTGAAGAAGACGAAGGGGATACACAAAGAGCAAACTCTGTTTCATTCATAACTTTGTTCATAACTATGTTTTGAAAACATCCGTGAAAACGCTACAGCGAGCGGCACCAGGACCCACCAAGGATCTATTATCATAACAGACCGCTGTCACTGTTAAAACTGTCTTATGTGTTCAACCTCGTAGATTGATCATTAAAAGGAAATGAGTAATTTCTAAAAGTTATCACATTAATCTATGGTATTTATCGACATTCATAGATAATCGGTCTTGCAATTTTGATATCCAGGATTTTTTTTTGACAAACCCTGCATAAGGTCTTAAAATAACTCATACATAAAACAGGCGCAATTCCTGTGCACAGAATAAACTAGGGTCTTCTACTTTGTCCCAGATATACCCATAATATTGTAAACAATTATTCAATTGACAATGTAGACCTGGATTTAGGCACTAACCAGTGGACTTCTAACTTGTTATCCTTTCCAAATTGATGCGGCCAAATTACAGTTCAAATTTGTGCAATGACTATAACACTAATACGTTGTTCATCAGGAACCATCAGATCTGCATTGTGTCTGAATAGTGGCTCAAAACAATGAGGCGTGAAAGTGATGGTCACTACTGAACGCAGGGAGAGGCATTTCCTACGAGCCAAGGAAGGGAAAGAAGCGGCAGGAGCAGCAAATGTTGAATTATCCAGCAGATGAGAGGAAAAAGCACGAAGAGTCGAAGGCATTGCCTGGAGCAGCATCAGACCAAAACCACTATTAAGTTGTCTCGCAAAATATTCCTCTCTTTCGTATTGCTTTGGATAAAATATATTTGGCTGTATATCAATATTCCTTTATGAATAAACCAAACACAAACAAAACATTCCATCAATAATACAAGATGAACCTTCATAAACCAATGTGTAAAAACCATCTCCAAAAATACTAGAGTACGAAACATTTGCGACTCTTTATATTAAAAAAGCCAATGTCAAAAAGAAGATTAGAAGATTAATTGAGATAAACCTTGGCATTTTGTGTTTTATTCTTAGAAACAAATGCAAGCTGATGAAAACCTGTATATTTATTCGCATTAACGTTTTTAACTGTGTGTGTTTCACTAATATTCTATCCGACATTAGACTTTGAAGAAGCCAGATCAAACATGAAATAAAAGAGCAGCCAAATGCATAAACAAGGTCACACAGAGTTTGTGAGTACTGGTAGTTTAGCAGCAGGTCTTATTCAAACCAGTTGACTTTCTACTACTATAGGATAAGGATAGGGTATCTTTTAGAAGTCACAATACACTTTCAATTCGATATAATTAGATGCAGTGTATTTCCAAGCAATCGATACTATTATTGGAATGATTACTATTACCATTATAGGTGCCTTCCATTTATTTAAATTTAGTGTACTGTAGAAACATCTTCCCAGCCTCATTCTTTTGTGTGCCTGAGTTGGATCTTTAAGACAAAATCAAACGTATCAATATAATATTCCAAATATCAAAGTATCAACCTATCCAAAAATACTGAGGGGAGGGTTTGTCGGTATGACAGTATGTAATATGCACTATTACAATTACAATCCAGTAATTGACGTAATCCACCTTCTGGCTAAAAATCAAAAACATAAATAATATGTTTATGTTGCTGAAACAAAATAAAAATCAATATTACATCATCATCATCATCATCATATATATATATAAAAATACCATGTTTATCTAATACCTTTGGAAAAGGTGTCAATGCATCAGTTGTCCTCTACTGAAGTCCATCTGGCCATAAATCTGTTCACTTTTAGAAATGGCTTAAAATCTTGCATTCCAGGCTTTATCTTTACATCTTAATTTCTCACCGTGATGAGTTTCTAAGCCACTTCCCCAAGTTTCAGAGAAAAGTTTGACCTTTACAGTGCAATAAAAAGGTTGGCTTGTAACAACAAGAGCAGCTTTTGTATATCTGCAATAGGGAAAAATCCTGAAAAAGTTAGTACATTATCAAAACAGGGCTCTATCAAACTCCGGCTACACCGCAGGATGAGTCCAGAGGTGGCAGAGGAGCCCAGCTGAGCATTGACCATACAACCAGCTCCACGGACGATAATCAATAATCGCCATTGAGCCAGCCTGTAATAAGACCTTTCTGCAATCCTCTAATGACAAAGTCTCTAAAGTGTCTTCTTCCATTATCTCATGGCCAAACTGATATGCTGGTTTGATACCAACTCTCCCAGCATGTATTACACACACAATTAGCTTTCATCTAACTTGCTTCCGACATGTTTTAGACAGGCAAGGACACAGCTTATGTTATGCCCATTTGAACCAGTCTTATCGCTTCAGACTCGGCAGCCGCACTGGGAACACTTAGAGATCAATGTGAAAGATTAAAGTTGGATTTTAATTGGTTGAGATTTAGGCTTCTCTGCATGTCAGGCTCTACAAACGCAAAAAAGAAAAGAAAAAATACCATGGGAAAAATATGCCAGCTGTTTTGGATTCAAAATAAGTTAGTTTCTTGTTTTGTATAATTCATAAATGACTTCACATCAGAGAAACCAAAATTCTACTGATAATATTAATGTTTAACACTACAGTTTCATAAGGATCATGTAGAGAGGAGTATTAGCGGCCGAAGGACATGGCTGACCACCCCTGGAGTTAGTAACAGGAGCGTGCAACAAAGCTTAAGCAACAATATCACTCACTAGACGTTGTCCTCACCGATAAGCAATGAACCTTAGCACTAAGATAGCACATTGCAGTAGGATTAATGCTTATTGCTTATCTACAACAAGTCAGGCAGGAAACTAAAGAAGAGGCTTTTGCAAACAACTGCACTAACTTAACTATAAAAAAGGATGTATAGGAACTGGCGGTGGAGCTTTACCAGTCAGCAGTGAATGTGGAGGAGGAATGGAATCCGTCCAGTTATTGACTGTAATGTAAAATATATACTGAAGCGATAAGCCAATGCCAGAGCACTAACAGAGTCATTTTTACTACGGTAAGTGAAATATCTCAGCAACAAACCTCTCTACCCAGCAGCAAAACAGTTTGAAGATGCAGAAGCCTTTCGGGGTCAGCGCAGGTAAGGTTCACTATCTACATGACTGCCTACCAAAGAATACACACAAGCTACATGGAACATGCCTGGTATCTAAACTTAGTTTATACATTTAATATCATCCAAGGAATTCTCCAGGCATGACGCAAATATCATGGGGACCCGAAAAGGATCTATAGGGAAATTGAACGATGGAAACTGGTATGAGCGATTACTAACTCATATCTGCCATATTGCCTTGTAGAGAGGTCGAAGTGCAGATGGCCCTGTTGCTCTACCTCTATCTGGAAGAAAACAGTGCCTCTGTGATCAGTATCATGTGACCACTTTGAAGGAGTAATCAAAGTTTCAGACATTGAAACATTCAACCTATGACAAAAAAGAAAGATCGCTTTGAATAAATTACCATAAATTACTTTTCTAATTTCGGAGAATTAATTGTTGCTGACTGGAGTTAAATAATCACATTGACAATCTCCATACATTCCAGCAAATCTTTATCTACTCCCTGATGAGTTAGTATTTTGCATGAAATTTTTAGTTGGAATTTGTAAAGACAGCGAAAAATCTGGCTCTCACCACAATAATGAGATCCCCACAGGCTCAAACACACAGTAAGACCGTTTTCGCTTAAACATTGCCTTCCATTCTACTATAGCGCGATAAGGACTTCTCATTAGCACAAAGTCAATGAACAACCATGCTCTATGTCCTCGTACAGTGCAAATGTTTAGTGAGCTCTAAAAGGCAGATCACTAAATAACAAGTTAAAGTATTTAAGTATAGAGATGGTATACTCTGTTCTCAGCCCACTCCCCCAGTATATGTGCCATTAAAGGAGCAATATGTAAAAATCAGGCCAAAAGTGGTACTGCAGTCACAGTCGATATTTTGTAGTCCTCTCCCACTCTCCCTGACTCAGGTTGCAAGATACACACCAAATCCAGCAGCAAACACAGGGAATTATTTTTATCAGTTGTTTGTCTGTCTCCATTCACATTGCCATGACAGCCGTGCTAATGTTGAATTAATGTTTCGAATTAATGTTTTATTTTTCATTTTTATTTGGACATTTGAGATAAAAAAAAAAAAAAAAAAAATATGTAATTATAGATTATGCTAAATAAATAAGCAATTGATGTCCAAAATAGGAGTGGGAAGAATGAATGTTGGAACATATTTCTTCAGCGTATCAACATCAGGGTTTCCTCCAGAGGATATCACCTTTCAATTTTTTTTATTCCCTATTTTTTAGACATACACATCAAAAAGAGACTAACATTACTTTAATTGGGGTACATGTGGTCTCAAATTATGTTTTTTACAATTAAGCTATAATCTGCAACAAAACGTCTTGACCTTTGTCTTTTACCGTTTTTAGAGCAAGCTGTCATAGAATGTGATATTATGCAATTAAATGCAAAAAGACTCTGCTCAGAATCAAACTCGAGTTACTGTTTTGTAAGCGCAGTGACTTAACCACTAGACCACCTGTGCGCAGGAAATGCTGCTGT